CAAGCCTGTAGCGTTGCGTGGGGTTGTTAAAAGAGGAAACATTGTCACAGATCTGTGATGTCAGACCAAAAGTCTTTACAGTTTAAACAAAGTCTGTATCTGGAGCTGTATCTGAGCAAAGATGGTTTTAAATTTATAAAATCTACATTCTATGTCTATAAAATCAGGATCAAAAGGAGCTTGGGGGGAGGGGGGGTTAAGTCTGCACCAACAAAGAAAGATCAAAGAACTACGTGTGTTTGTCAATACTGATACATTTGCATCCTATGCTGGAATACGATGCAAATGGTATCTTTAAATCATCGTACCTCCATCACAGGAATTCAGTCAGATCTGCTGAATTCAGTGTCTTTTTGGTCTTTAAAAGGATGTTTTACTAAGTTTCCATCAGTTGCACTAGGTGGAAATGGCTGCCCAGGTATCGTAGGGGCAGATCTTAAGCATTGGTTACGATGCACAAGAAGGAAAGCAAGTTCATTCCCCGTTGTCTGCCTAAGGAAGAAGATATTTTTCTGGGTCTGTTAAACAACTATCCTAGAGTCTGGGAACTTTTCAAAAATCACTGTGGCAGGCACAGTTATATTGGCTATGCTACCCCAAAGAAAAAAATTCTTTTCACATTTACACTTAGTGCAACTTGAACTATATAAACATTGGAAATTAAGGGCTGCAGTTTTCATGTGGAATATTAATCTCATTTCGGCTCACTTTGTCATCTAGGCTCCATTTCCTGCAAAAGATCCCTTCCAAATTGGGCTGTTTTACGGTTCTATGAACCTGAGAGAATAGACGGCACCTACCCAACCTAACATCATGACTGATCTTTTCAGTAGTCACATGAAACGTTCACTGTAATACCATTGAGACTCACAGCAAACCAGAAACCAAAACGTAGTGTAAAAACCAAATGCAGCATATTGAGGAGAAGTCCACTCTGTAGTGAGCCGGGTTGTGTTGGTTTTTTTTGTTTTTAAACACAGGAATCTTCAAGATCTTGACAAGGCTGGTCACCGATTTACTACGAAAACAGGACTGGGCAATTATTCCCCAGATCAAGTAAGAGTTTAGCATCTGGAGCATGAACAAGAGCTACTTACTGGTTTGGGATTGACTTCAGTAGAGATGAGTTTTAAAAGGCAGTTTAGGAGTCTCTGCTTGTGAAAGGTGGTACATGCAGGAAGAGCACTTGACTCAGAAGTTTGCTCCCTAGCATCCTGGGTTTCTGGCTCCAAGACAGCCAACCAGTCATATTCCAGCTGCAACTTGTTCGGTTTGCCCATCATGAGGTAGACTTCAGCCAGCGTAAGGCTCTCAGAAGTTCGCAGACTCCATCCTTCTTCTCTAACCTGTTGAGAGAGCCGGCTTGGGTCATCCTTGAGAGACTTTGTACTAGATTGTCCCTGAGGTGGAGGTGGAAATGAGGAGCCCAGCTTCTCTTGAGAATCCTCCATTACTGCATCTGTTATATCCTTGGTACAAGCATCAAGCTGCTGGCCCTGGCTGTAGCTAGCCTGAGTTTCGTATCTGGATGGGCCACTGCCGGGTGAAGCCACACCACCTCTTGGTAGCTGTGAATAGGAGTCAGATGTCTCTGTGCTGCTCCCGCTTGGAAAAGCCACAGGAGAAGTATCACCAGCTGCTAGAGTAGAGTCCTTCCCATGCAGTTTGTCTGTGCAAGAACATTTCTCTGGGACGATCAGGTCCTGACAGGACTTCATGTACCGTGGGAATGGATCAAGCAGAGAGAGCTCCTCCACATCAGGGATCTTACTGCAAGCACAAGCTGTGCTGCACAATGGTAGCACAGTTGCTTGGTCACTAGCCAGGGCCTCCCTGCCCTCCACACAGAAGGCCACTGAGCTCAGCTTTTCGTGGTTCCCTCCTGGATCTTGAAGTCCAGAAGGCGGTTTTTGGAGACAATTAGTGATGCCGAGATTTGAGGCTGTTCCTTCCACCAGGCCAGTCTCTGGAGCCCCATCTTCAGTGCTTGCAGAAACTTCAGCTGTGGGCTGAGAGGTTCTGCTTGACTCTGTAGTGCTCTCTGCCCTTCCAACACCCTTACCTTCTGTTCCCCGCGTGTATTTTAGCTGTCCCCTAGCTGTCCCCTGACCACTCTGTATGCCTAAGATTTGTGCAGGGGGTAGTAAGTGAGAGTCTTTCGTGTTCTGTTTGCATTTGCCAGTTTCCTGCCAATGAACTGTGCAGAAAGCCTTGGAGTGGACCACTCTGGCTACCCCAGGCAGTGGAGTGAGTGTACAATTCTCTCCTGGAAAGAGATGGAGCATCACTTTCTCCTCTGAGAAGGTGCCTCTTGTTTCCGAGTCTCTGGAGTCTTGAAGCTGCCGTTCTTCTAGTGTTTTACGCTAAAAAAAAAATGTGTCAAAGAATACAACAATCATCTGCCCCTTCCAAACAAGCACCTGGTAGCCTATTTTGCAAGTTTTTAAAAAAAAAAAAAAGAAAACCAAAACAAAAACCAGTAGCTGATCAAGGACATGTTCTCTATTCAGCATAGACATGAAGACTCTACGATCAGAAATTAAGTCTTTTTGCAGTAATAAGGACTACACTGAAGACCTGCTACAAGCACAAACTAAATCTCTGTTCCAGACAAAATTACTTATCTCTGCTTCACGCACCATTGTAATTGTAAAAAAACCCAACCAACTAATAAACCCCAACAAAACAAGCAAAAACCTCAACGTCACTGCATAGCAAAACAGACTCCCCTTTCTGTGCAGTAACCTCCATCTTACATGTTTTGACATCCTTCTAAGTTTCAGGTACTATGCTCCTACTTCTTTCAGGCTCACAGATTAAAAAGAAAAGCCTGAATTAAAGGACTAAAAAGAGGATACAGCATACCAGTCAAAAGGAGAACAGAATGGCTGTTAACTGACAAATGCTTCTACTCCATGGATCAAAGTTCAGAGGTAGGGATATCTCTAATGTTGTATGGCTCAGACAGCATATAGATACATATCTATATACATACAGGTAGCAGCAGCTACCTAGACAAGAAGCTTAAGCCTTCATTTGGTGAAACTGCATAAAGCAACTGGAAAGATCTGTCCTTAACCTCTTTGCTGAAACCGGAAACAAAATCGTCAGTTATTATCCAGGCTCCTGTGGTGGTCACCCATCTATAATGAACAGACTAAGCACACTCTTTAAGAAAATTAAATAAAAGGCAGGGAGCTTCGTTTATTATTAACTAGCTTTTCAAGGCATCATAGTAGAGAAAAGTTGAGGTAAAAGTGGAGTATTATGGGATTTCCCATGAAAGGCTCCGTTAGTGATCTTGAGATACTGACCTTTACTAAGCATGGGCTGGTAAATTTATGAGGTAGAATTACATTTCCAATGCAGAAATGAACTTAGAATAGGAAGCGAATTGCTCCCAGGACACAGCATACAGAACAGACTAAGCAGAAAAAGGATACCACACGCACTTCATGGAGAGCCCACTTCTGCTTCAGGAACTCTATGAGGCTGGAGACCTTCCGATGTAATTCCACAATCATCCTGTATGCAAGATAAACAAAGCAAGGGAACAGAGAAAAAATGTCAGAAGTTCAAATCACAGCCTCGATGCTAGAATGGGAATTAAGGGAAGAAACTGGCATTCTGTTTCAAGCACAGAGAACACACCTACCACTCCCAAGCTCGGTTGGGGCGGGGGGCGCGGGGGGAGAAAAACAAAACCATGTTATCTTGCAACTTTAAATCTAGGTAACTCACAACTGAGAAAGATCTAAAAGCCTGTCAGATAAATCTGATTCCCATGATTCAAGATACTAGTTTCTCCAGATGGAAGGAGAAGATAGGAAAAGATGGCAAGATTTAGCTAAACTGCAAAACTGCAGGCAAGGCACAAAGCTACCACATGAAGTATAGAAAGAAAGAGAAAAAGAGGCACAAAAAAAAACCCCAAACATTTACTTTTTGCTCTCAAAGCATTTTACAAAATAAACCTAATGCTAAAAACCTTCATTCTCCTCTCTGCATGATCTTTGGTCATTATACTGAAGTACTCTACTTGAAAGAACAATCAACATCACAGAGGCCTTGTGTTTTCTGCCCTGAGTTTTGGACTAGACCTAAGTACTAGGATGAACAGCCATTGATGATGCTGAAACAACAGAACCAACTACATTTTGCAGGGAGGAGATTAAGCTACAAATACCTTCCTTTCTGCTAGTATCACTGTATTGCAGTTGACATTTTCAGAGTCTTGGTGCAGGCGCCTCTGACCATCGTTCTACTTCCCTCCCCTGTGCCTCTGTCTCATGGTACATTCAATACAAATTTTAGCAGAACTAGCGCTGCATATCTCTATTTTACTTGCACTCTGCTCTGACAACAGGGTGTAAGTGGCATGAAGTATATTCATCTTCAACTCTAGTAGCTCCTATCATTACTCAAATTAAAAGATGTAAAGAACAATGGTAGTCTAAATTTCAAGTCTGATGTCTCACGTTTACAACAATCAGGTACTCTGGTTGGACAAAGCCTTCAGAATAAGTACATTTAGGCAAACTGCATTATCAGAAATGAACGGTCCAGTTGGCAAAGAGAACCCTGAAGAAAGAGGAAGATGCTAGAATGCTGCTCACATATTTCCCTATTCTATTCTGAGCACCACAATCAATTCTTCATTACCTCAGCCGTGGATTCTGGGCAAGACTCTGTACTCGAGCCCATGCATGATTATTTCGTGGCTGCAGTTCCACAGGGACCTTGAGAGGAAGACGTACTGGCTTCTGGTCCTCTTCATCACTAACGCCTGAAGGGAGATGAAGCACAAAGGGCATGGGTCAAAGCAATGACAACTCAGTCAGAACACTATATGCTCAGTTACGTGAAAAAACAGCATTACAGACATCAGGATCACCTACAGACAACTTAGGCAGCTCAGCTTCACCAGTGGAGCCTGCTTCCTTAGATTACCTCCTGTTCCAATATGTTTATTTTTTTCCTTGGACACTGCAGTGGTACTGGAGCTTCCAGTTGAGCAAGCAGTGTCAAAATCAGGTGGCTGGAAACTTTGAACAAGTACAGTATTTCAGACCTTTAAACAGCACTGATTCTACTTATTGGTGGGGGGAGGAAGAGGAA